GTGCGGGCGCTACTGGTATAGTGGGCCGTGCTACCGTGTATTTGGTGCGTGCTACGCTTATAGTGTTCGTTGACGGCGGTGGCACAAACGCATCCGCTGCCTCCCTCGATGTTTTCTTTACCGTGAATTGCGTATTTCTCTTCTTCGTTCACCTCTCGCGGCATGGAAAGTGCTTTACTGGAACGTTCTCTTTTGATTTGTTTCTCTCTTTTCTTTTAGATTGCGCTGATAGCGTTTCCTTTTTTGCTACCGGCTGAACGCTCTTCCCGCTTCGTTAGGTGTCGTCGCTTCGTCTGGATCCATCACAAGTAGTTGGGTCCTGGACAAGAGAAATCCGCACCATCGTTTATGTGGCTTTTATAGATTATAGCCGTACATTCTGTTTTTCGCCGATTCGTGATCTCTATTACAGACGGCATGCTAGCGATGCATTCCTTTAAACTCTTTTTTTCTCCTTCTCTCTCAGTCCCGTTACTTCTCCGTTCTGTTGTAATTCACCACTTTTTTTTACCTTTTTCTAATCACTACCTTGAAGTTACGGGGTATTTAAGCACGCGCTAACCGCTGCCCTTTCCTGTCACAACCGCAGAGTGATTCGGTGCAAACTGTGCTTGAACGTGGTCCTCGTATTATTTTTTGAACGACGAGCCAGTGCTGTCCGCTTTTGAAAATACAACCCTCCCGGTCTGCACGTTGGAAGCTTTTTGTGTGTGTGTGGTATCAGCTCTTATTTCTGCTTTTACTCCTCTGTTTCTTTTCCTTCCCGCAACTGCCAAGTATTATGCCTCCTGTGAAAGAGCTGCTGAGCGTCCATCGTGTGCAGAGTAAGTTGGTCTTTTTTTAAAGATGTTTTTCTTAGTAGCGCCAACGAAAGTGTTTCGGGGTTGCGCTCTGTTCCTTCGTGTGCCTCCGCTGTGCTCGTGCAGAGTCCCACGTGCTGAACATTTACAGGCATTCATTTAGGCAACCACCCATATATATATGTATGAGCGGTAGATTATCTCCCCGAAAACACCTATGCGTTTTTCTTAATTTTGCTACTGACCGTTGTTTCTTGTTTTCTTATTTTACTATCTTTTTTTGAAGGAAAGAGTGCTGTTCGATTGTGGTTGTGCGTCGAGGTGTCCCGCTGCGCATCGTTTACCCGTCTCACCGATGCATGGAGCGCGGGACGCGCCGTCTCGACTTTGAAGTATTGTGGGCGAGACACGCTGTCTCCCCACAGAAGCGAGCCACTACGTTTTCTTTTTCCCTCTCCCGAAGCGATCAGTACGAGGGGCTCCTAGGTGGCTCGCTCTCCTCTCTTCTCCCATTTTGCTTTCTTTTCATTATATGAGATTCAAAATATATTGTTTTTGAGTGCTGAGACAGCGACCTCACCGCCGTTTACGCTGCCGCTTTTCATCCCGTCCCTCTCTCTCGTTCTACACTAAAACAACGAAAACTAGCTGAAACGCTGCCTTTTTTCTGCTCAACGTTGTCCTCATATGTGCGGCGTGGCCAGACAATGATGTACTTGCATTGGGCTTAGCTCTCGTCAATACTTCCAATTCGATCGTTCGTTTGCGCCTTGACATTGTTGAAGATAATTGCTTTACTTTTCCTTTCTTTTGGCGCTACGAACGGTGCTGCGGTTCGACAGCAAAAAGAGAAAGATAACACTTTCGGGTTCTCAGCTTTGAGCCGCCACGACGCACAAGGATAATTCCCGGGAAGGTCCTCTCTTCAGGGTTTCGCCGCTCGGCACGATAGGCGGCTTGATCGCAGTGAGGAGAGCGGTTTGCAACTCTTTCGGTATCTCTTGCAGCTCTCTGTAGTGTGTTCATTGGCGGTGACAGCGGTGCACCGGGTTCTCTTTGGACCCAACGCGGAGACAAAGGGTGCGCTTTACACCTCCACCTCTGCACTCCCCTAATGCACACCTCCTCCCTTCCCCCTCCCCCGCTGTGCTCTGCTATTTCATCTTTTGCTCTCTGGTGCCTATACCCCAGTGAATAATTTAAGTTTAAGGTGCCCTACACCACTTCCGCCTCCTTGTCTCAGCTGAGGTTTCTCCACCGCACGTGCAGCACGTATCGCCACCGCGCTTTCTTTCCCCCCTTCGAGACTCCTACCCGGCACACGACACGATGCGTGGCAAAGGCGAACCGATCCACCACGATGAGCTCTCCGGCACACTGCTCGACCACCTCGACAGGGAGTCGCCAACGTCGCCGGAGGTGCAGCTTGACCGGAAGCGTGATCCCCACATCGACGCCAACGTTGCGAGTAATTTGATGTATGATGAAGCGGGCAACGCAGCGGAGGAGCGTCCCCGGCGGACGAAAAACGTGTTCAAGCGCTTCTCGGAGTGGCTGATTCCATACGGCGGCCTCGTGTCGAACTGCTTCAGCCTGGGCTCCGTGACGCTTGGCGGCGGCATCATCTCCATGCCCTCCTCCTTCGCCATGTCCGGCATCGTAATGTCCATCATCTACCTGGTGGTGATCACGGCCGTGACTGTGTACTCGATGACGCTGATGGGCTACGCGATGGAGAAGACGGGCGTGTACACCTACGAGGAACTGGCTCATGTGCTGTTTGGCCGCGGCTGGGACTACTTCGCGGGCTTTGTGCTGTGGCTGTCGTGCTTCGGCACTGCAGTGGCGTACATCAGCGCAGTGAGCAGTCTGATCGATCCCATTCTGCGGAAGTCCCCCGGCACACCGGCGTATCTGTTGACGACGAGCGGCAACCGCCTCGTGACGTCGCTGGTGTGGCTGGTGCTGATGATGCCCGTGATCATCCCCAAGCACGTGAACAGCATCCGCTACGTCTCCGCGTTTGGCGTGGTGATGGTGCTGTACTTCGTGGTCACGATTGTGGTGCACTCCAGCACGAACGGCATGAAGGATGGCATGCGCGGCGACATGCAGTGCTTCACCGTCGGCAACAAGGCCATCTACGGCCTGTCCATCTTCATCTTTGCGTATCTGTGTCAAGTGGTGGCCGGCAATGTGTACCATGAGCAGAGGCCGCGTCCCTCGGTGAAGCAACTGACGGTGGCGAGCGCCATCGCGATGACGGTGTGCATGATGTTCTACATCCTTGCCGGTGTCTTCGGCTACTTCGACTTCGCGGACGACACGCAGGACTCGATCCTGTTCAACTTCGACCCGGTGCACCAGCCCTACATGATGGTGGCGTACATCGGCATGCTGGTGAAGCTGTGCGCTGCGTACGCCATGAACATGGTGCCGTGCCGCAACTTCATCTACCACTGCCTGAGCTGGAACATTGAGACACTCCCCTACTGGAAGCACATCCTCGTGGTGCTGGCGATGTCCGTGGTGATCCTGATCTGCGGACTGTTCATTCCGAGCATCAACACTGCCCTCGGGCTTGTGGGTTCGCTGTGTGGCGGCTTCATTGGGTTTCTGTTCCCTGCGTACTACTGGATGTACTGCGGTGACTGGAGCATCAAGTCTGTGGGCATCTGGCACTGGCTGGCCACGTACTTCCTGGTCGTGTGCGGCGTGATTGCGATTGTGTTCGGCGCGATTGCGACGGTGTACTTCAGCTTTGTGGTCTAACGGAAGCGACCAACCTCTCTTTTTGGTATCCTCGTTGTTGTCTTCACCGTGAATTGCGTGTGTTCTCTTTCTCTCTCTTCGGTCGGATATGTTTGCTGTTTGATTTCGTTGTTTACGCTTTTGTACGCCCTATTTTTCGCCAGGGTGAAATTGTATCCCCTCCCCTTTTGTTTGCTTCGTTGCTTTTTCAATTCGGTCTGTCTTGCGGGTTGTTTCCTTTACGACGGATTCTTTTTCGAGTTCTGTTTCTCCAATACATCTCTTTCTTGTTTTATCTCCTTCGGTAAACACAAATTTGTTTCTTTCTCGCTACCTTAACAGTTTCAGGTTTCGAAGGTCCTCGACACGTCCTCTGTGGGGACTCTGGGCGGGACGCTTCTCATTTTTCTCTTCTCTATGATTGCTTTTCTCTGTCTTACTTTTTTTGCTTTCTTTTATCTCTTTCTTCCTGAGACGGCTCTGTTTGTCACCATGGCCGTTCTCTCTGATTTATGCGTTGAGGTTTTTTCTTTCAGATGAAGGGCTTCTCATTGTGACGCTGCTCTAGCGGAGTTGCGTCGTGGAGGACTTGAAAAACAAATAGCCGTATTCGGCTCCTTTAATGTCAGGCTTTCGATTGCGCTGCGCTAAACAGGTGCTGGAGTAGTGTAGTGGCAGTTCCTCACGCACACCTTTGCATACACATCTAACATATATCCTCTTCTTTTACTGTGTCCTAGCTCTCATTTCGTCTTGTTGAGTGTGTATGCTGGGGTGTTCTCGCTACCGTGCCGATTGACGGTTTTTCTCACATATATATTGTTTGTTGGCGTTGAAACTCGGTGGCTCCTTCTTGGAGCCCTCTTGTTTCTTTCCTTGACTATATATTCTTTCATGAGATGTTTTATGGGGATGAGAAGTTCTCGAAGATAGAAGCAGGACTACATACAATGCGCAAGTACGTAGTCTTTGCTCGTCTGCCTCCTTGCGACTCGAGTGGTTGCCAATAGAGCCACGTACTGCATCTTTGCTTGCATTGATTGCTTTTGAAACGATATCTGCCCTTGCGCTTGTTGTGTGTGGTGGGTGGGGGGGGGGGGAGGGAGCGCAGAGTTTATGTTTGCTATTTGCGTGCTTTGCTGTGTTGTCAATCTTGGATGCAAAACGTGGGCATCACTTGCAGAGTCATTTCTTCTTTTCTCTCCCCCTTCTCTTTCCGAGCTTCTGCTGTTTTTCTACTTCCCCTTTGGTGGTACCTCATTTGCGGACTGTCCCTTGCGACGGTGGCACCACGAATGTACGGACCTTTCTTTCGTACTTTCTTGTCTGCGGAGCCGAAGCGAAACACAAGAAGTTTTTCTTTTATCCGTCGCTCTCATGAAAGTAATCGTGGGAGACGTTCCGAGGCGATGTTTGCTGCACGTCCGTCGTCCACCCTCCCCTTCCCTAATGGACTCGGGTGCTGAAGTGTCTGTATTGATCGCGTCGGCGGAGCGTTCGTCGTCTTCCACGCACGCGGCGCAGTTGGCCGAAGCGGCCCTCGCGCACGCGAGACGCATCGTCGTGTTCAGCGGAGCCGGGATATGCGCCGAGAGCGGTATTAACACCTTTCGCGATCCCGAAGTGGGTGTGTGGAAAAACAAGATTGCCCTGGCCCTCTTTGCAGTTCCGTTTGGCTGGCGTTGGATGCCGACCATGGCGTGGTGGGGATACAAGAAGTTCCACACTCCCATCGCCGCTGCACAGCCAAACGAAGGCCACCGTACCGTTGCTCGGCTGCGTGATGAGCTTCACTTAGCCGACGCGGATGCGGTGCAGGTGATCACGCAGAATGTCGATGCCCTGCACCAACGTGCCGGCTCCCCAACAGAGTTTGTGTATGAGGTGCACGGTTCTGTCTGGCGGCACCGCTGCATAAAGAATGGCCACCCAATGGACCTTCTCGTGGAGGGAAAGCTCCCGGAAGCACAGCCGCGGTGTGCGATTTGCGGTAGTCCAGCTCGTCCCGATGTGGTCCTCTTCACCGAAAGCTTGCCGGAGGACGCGTGGCTGAAATCGGAAGTGGCAGTCTGCGGTCTTCGCGCCGGAGACGTGCTGTTGGTCGTGGGCACCAGCGGCGTGGTGCAGCCCGGTGCGTCACTTCCGGAGCTGTGCGCTCCTGGAGTGGTGAAGATTGAGGTCAACATCGAGCACACGGCTCACAGCAAGGGGATGAACGTGTGTATTCGCCAGTCTAGTTCGATAGCTCTCCCGCTGTTGCTGCAGCTAGCCAAAGAAGGGCGGGACCCAACCTAGTTAAGCGAGTCGTTGTACGGTGCTTTTCTGCGTATGTGACAAGCTATGCCGTTTCTTAGCTTCATGCCTTTCCCTCTGTGCTTTAGTCTTACGTTATTTTCTTTTCTTCCTCTTTCTGGCTGCTTCCGTTTTGTTTTACAAAGCTCCTGCTTTTCACTATCGTGTTCGATATATATGCATGTGTACGTCGCACCTCTGTTGTGTTCTCGTCTCGTGATGGACGCGCTCCCTCTTCTCCCCCGCGATCTACAATCACGTTCCTAGCTCGCATAAGCTATTCTTGTGAAGAAGAGCGAGTTCCAAAAAGAAATTGATGATAACAGCGCAGCGTTCTCCTTGAGGTTTTATAATTTTCTGACAGTGTCTTCAACTCCACTGGCGAGAGGAACGTCGACGGGTTCTCTGTATGCGATAGGAGCAGCCTGGCTGCCTTGCTGCACATGGCACCAGAGCGGCCCCTCGAAACCTCCTCCTCCCACTTTGCGCCACACCTTTTCTTCGCGTATTCTGTTGCTCTCTACCTCTTTTCTTCTTCTTAAACTGCCTTCGCAAAAAAGCACGGTAAGAAGTTATCGTTGACGAGGTGAGTTTCGCTTAGCTTCTTCATAGAGTAGTCGCACCCACGTTTCGCTCCGCTGCTCTTTTTTCCCTTTTCCTCTTCTTTTCCCCCTCGTCTCATTGGAAGGACTCCACCATGCAGGTCGGTGGTGTTGAGGGCACGGCGGACGACGACGACGACTTCACCTACACCGAGGACGCGTCGGGGGCGCAGACGAAAGTCGCGGTGGAAAAAGAATTCGTCTTCAAGGTGGTGGTGTTGGGGGACTACAGCGTCGGCAAGACCTGCCTCATCAAACGCATGCTGGCCGTGCACTCGCTAGCACCGTCTACGCCGCCGTACGAGGATTCCGAGTACGCGGAGAGCAGCGATGACGATGACCACCTCGGTGCCGTCACCCCCACCGTGGGGACGGACTTCTACTCCCTCGCCCTCCCCCATGTGCTCCCCGGCATCTCCCTCCGACTGCAGCTGTGGGACACTGCGGGTCTGACAAAGTACGCCGCGAAGTACGAGAACACCTTCCGCAACGCCTCCTTCGTCGTGTGCGTCTTTGACGTCACGAGTGCGAGCAGCCTGCACGACGTGGTGGACCGGCACCTGTCGATCGCAGCGGAGCACATCCCGGAGCTGGACCAGAGCAACATCATGGTCGTGGCAAACAAAATCGACGTGCTGCACGACATGGAGGACAACACGGCGGCGCTGCGGGACGCGCGAAAGCGGGCCCGATCCCCCGAGATGGCCTTCGCCGCGGGCAGCGAGGACGATGACACGGCCACGAACACGGAGTTTTACACGGCGGTCGACGGCATCGACAGGGACGCGATTGTGACGGCCAAGAAGGTGCAGGCGGAGGTGTTTGACCTCTTCAGCGAGGTGCACTACGCGGAGGTGAGCGCCAAGACGCGGCAGAATGTGCGGTCGATGCTGCAGACGCTCGCCTTCGCCCTGCTGCGCAACACGCCAGAGGCGAGCGAGAGGGCGGACGTCCCGGTGATGCCCTCCACCTACGACGTCTTTGCGCGCACGGTGCTGCCGATGCAGAGACCTGGGAGCTCGCCCACCCGCAAGGGTGCACCACTCACGGCGGATGCACCGATCACCGCTGCCGGCCTACCACCACCCGCACTAGCACCTCCACCACCACCACCGCCACCACCAATGCAACCGGCCGCCAGCTGGCGTACTACCGGGGCTTTTCAGTTTGACATGGCCGCCTCGCAGCTGGCCTCCACCGCCGTCTTCACTCCGATTGAAGGGCCAGACGAGCCACACGCCCGCAGCGGCGGCAGCCTACGCAATTCTATTCGCTCGCCGGATATCCCCTCGCCGGGTGCGGCCACAGTGGCAGCCCCGCCATCCGTATCAAACTCTTCCATCTCCGCGCTGAGGTTGGACGAGGTGCAGGTGGAGGTGAGCGCGAGGAGGAAGACGGCGCGGGCCGCCCCGCCGGACCCGAACGAAACCCCGCAAGCTCGAAAAGCGCGCGAGCAGGCGGAGATGAACGCGTTGTTGGGCCGTGCCGGTCAGCGGAAGGGCGGGCAGCCGAGTGGGGCCGCAGCGGTGACGACGGTGGCGTCGGATGCGCTGCGGAACGATGCGGACAAAATGGAAGATGACGTGGCGTCGGGGCGTGAGCGGGTCAACGACAACGCGGCGCGTCAATCCGCACCGTCTATCCTGGACTCGTTAGGCATGCAGGACGACAAGAACAAGGCAGGGGGCCGCGCCGCTGCTGGCGCCGACGACGATGACGATGAAGATGGAGGGCAGATGCATGCGCGCTTGAACGATCGCTTTGCGCAGATTGAGCATGACATTCGACAAGACAACGCCGTGGCAAAGGAACGGGCCAAGAAGGAGAAAAAGACAAAGGGGAAGTGCAAGTGTGTTCTCATGTAAAACGGAGCTTTAAAGTTCTCTCCAGTTTTGTGGTTTGGTCTGCTCCTTGTTCTTTCTTTCGTCAAGAAGAAATTCCACTGCTCAAGGCTACACGTACGCAATATCGATACCTTTTCGTGGCGCGGGTCGCGTCACCGGTGTAGTGGGTTTTGTTCTGTGTTGTTTCCCGTGGACTTATGAGTCCTGTGTCTCTGCGTGTTTCTTTGCATTTTCTTTTTCCCCTTGGCTTCGTTGTGATCGTTAGATGACACGTTCCTTTCTTCGTTAACACACCTCTCTATCTTTCCGCTTGCGTATTTTCTCATGACGAAACACTTTTCAGACGCCTGGAACCACGACTGAAGTTGCACTCGGCGACCTCCTCGCCGCCTCCAGATATATATCAAAAATGTAAGGAAAAGTTGTACTCATAGCTGGGAATGACGAATAAAGATCCCTTCACTTCGGTTCAGGCTCTTTTACTGTGATACGGCTAATGGAGAGAAGCTACGCTGCTGCACCGGCGTCGCTAACAGCCGTAATGGGGAGAGAGAGCGACTGCTCTTCGCGCCAATACGTAAAAGGGTCATTTTGCCATGAGAAAGAAAAATGCGTGACGTTTCTTTTTGCTCATTCAGTATTGCCAAACAGTTCACCGGTGTTTCTTCTTGAGTATTTCTTGCGTCTTCTGCTTTGCGTTCCTCTTCTTTCCTATCCGATAGAACCGCGTTTTCCCAGTCGCGCCGTCTATCGCCATTGCTCCTCGTTTCCCTTCCTTTTCTGTATATATATATATTTAAGCCCATCTTTCTTTCTTCACCCATCATGGCCGGCTACCCCTACCCGAGCCAGAACGCCAACTACGGCGGCTACCCGTCGCAACCTAGCGTCCCCACTGGAACCTACGGCGGCTACCCCGGCTACGGCGGCTACGCTGCACCGTCGGCCACCTCGGCGATGTATCCGCAGGGCCCTGCGCTGCCTTCGCAGAGCGCCTCCGCTATGATAGGAGGTGGCGGGGGCCCCGGCTACGGCTACGGTTACCCTCAGCCCCCGCCGCCGCCGTCACGCCCGGGACTCATGGGTGTCTTGCTTGGTTCTTCCGGTGGATCAGGACCCCATCCACAGCACCACGGCGGTCCTCCAGGCGGTCCGGCGGGATGGGGCGGTCCCCAAGGAGGTCCAGGCGGTCGGTGGTAAGCAAAGAAGAAAAGAATCCCTTGTAGATAACGGTAACTGAGGGTATGCTGTAGTGCGCCACGTTGTGTGCGCGAGCTCAACCACACGCCTTTACATCATATGTGCTATATATAACTGTTTTGTTTTGTTCTTGTTTCACTTTTCTTTCCACACTAATGACTCCCCGGTACTTTCTGTTCCTCAAGACGCAATTGTTGCGAAACTGGATCCGCTGGTGTGCGTGCGCGGGTGCTCATCTCTCTTTCCCTCTTTTGGTTGTGGTTTTGATGCACCGCTCACGGAAGCGTTCTTCACTGCTCATCACCGAGTGTTGAAGGCTTAAAACAACAACCCGAAAAACGCTGCTTTATCGCACCCGGATCACTCTTTAACGCTGGATCTGTTGTGTGCCGTGTGTCATTGACGTATGCAGCAACAACAAAATGAAGATGACGGCCTGTTTGTATCTGCTGCGTGTTGAGACTTCCGTCTCTGCACATTTCACCTTCTATTCTTTCTACTGTAATCGTGCGTGCTTTCCAGCGCATCCTTGTCGCGCCTGCGATGCGTGGTGGTTAAAAACCTCAGCTTTTTCTTGTATATGTTGCTGCTCATGTCTTCTTCTATGTTCTCTCCTTTTCGTAAATGCGCAGGAACGATTTCTAAGTATCCTTATCACTCGGCTACTACCGAACTATCGATATTACGTCACTGTCACCGCCTTCCTATTTCTTTCCGTTTCACAGTTAGTCATGGCATTTCCTGCAGCGTCTGCGTGTGGGGTTGGAGGCTATGACCCTTACCCTCCAGCGTCGTACCCAAACCCGCAGTTCGCAGGGTACGGCCCACCGCGGCCGCCGGGGCCGGCATACGGAATGCCGCCGCAACCCGGCTACGGCAGTCCCTTCGGCGGTGCGCCTCCCGGCGCGTACGGGGGTCCGTACGGCGGCCCGTACGGCGGTCCCTATGGCGGTCCATACGGTGGCCCCGCACCCCCACCACCGCAACCACAGGTGATCTACGTCCAGCAACCCGCACCGGCAGTCCAGCCGTCGAATCCTACTATCATCGTCCAAGGCGGTTGCGATTCTAGCCGCTACTACTGTCGACGCTGCCGGGCGTACCATCGGGAGCGGTATTGCCCGTACGCGAATAGCGGCTGCGGTGCGCAGTAGTGATTGACCGATGGATTCTTTGTGTTGGTGCTTTATTATTATTATTATTATTAAACCACGCTAGTAGCGTACGCGGCGTACTAAAGTGTCTCCATTGTTGTCTAAAAGCAGTGCGTTTTTCATCTTCTTTCTTTTGTTTATCGCAAAACGGTTTTCCTATTTCGGCGGCTCGTATGAAATGGAGTCCGACTTTTGGCTTATTCATTCGTCATTTAATTAATTCTTCCTGTTGCTGTCTTTCTGTTTCGGGAAAGCTCCTAACTGGCGTATCCTTTTGTGTAGATGTGTGTATGCGTGTGTATGGCGCTCGCGTCTGAGCGGATGAGCTGCCAACCCTACCCGTGTTATATGGTGTACGTATTCGTATGGTGATGATGCATGCTCCTCGTCATGGCGTCCCTTTTTGTGTCTATGCGTGTATGTGTGGCGAGCGTCATTTAACGCGCAAGCCCCACCACTGAGGGTGAGCTCATATCTCCTTTCTTTGCCTCTACTTCTCATGATTTATTATTATTATTATTATTATTATTATTATTATTATTATTATTATTGGCAATAGAAACAGGTCCGCAACGTATACAAAAATACGCCTTTCTCTCCAGCTGGTCTCCTCTATGTGGTCCGACGACTGCACCCCCAGCTGCGACGCTTCACAGCCACAGCCAGCACAGCGGCAACGACCGCGGTCCCCACCGCGATCGGGAGCTGTTGCCACCGCAGCAGCCATCCCGTACAACGGCAACGGCGCTCCTTCAAACCCTCTGAACGGGGTGCCTGGCCACGTGCTGCAGCAAGACACGCAAAGGCCACCCAGTGAAGTCTACGGAGAGGGAGCAGAGTACGGCCATGTCGAGGGACCAGACCCCACAAACGTCTCCACCTTCCCCCCATCTTCAGGGTGCGACGAAAGCGTGAAGCCGCCCCGCCCCGCACCCGCCGCGCCAAGTACCGCCCTCCCTCTCCCCCAACAGAAGAGACCGGCCCAGGTGGTCCACTACGGCCACGCCAGCTCTGACAATCCAGCCTCGTACATGCAACATCACTACCGACCCCCGCCGACCACGCCGGCAGCGCCGGTGGTGGGGATTATTCAGTATGCGGGTCCGCCGGCTGCCCCACCACCTGTGTTTTACGGCGCTGCAACGGCGCCAGGTGCACCTGTGTATTCGTTCAGCAATGGTGCTGATTCGGCTACGCCGCGCGGACGGTCTTAAGCGACCTCGTAGCCGCAGTTTGTACCCTGGGGGCAGTACGGTCTCTAATTGTATGCCCGTACGCTGCCGCTACTCCACCGCACCACCTGCTTCCAGCTCCACCGCAGTGAAACAGCGAGGGCTTTTCCAGCCACACGGCAAATAATCAATGGATGCTGTAATTCCCTCTGCTTCTGCTGACGATGATGGCTTGTCGTAGCACTCTTTAGCGGCGTCTCCTTTTTTCCATTCCCGCTGCTTCTCTCTGCTTGCGAGGAGCAACTCGCTCCTATGCGATTTCTTTTGTGGCTGTTGTTCAGCGCTGCGTTCGCACCCACCGCTGCTGTTGGTGGCTGTGGTCTTCAGCTCCTCACGTACCACCGTCGTGGCGGTGATTTGTGTACACCTCAGCTTTCAACGACCTCTCTGCCTCGTCTTGCTATTTTTGTTTCTCTCTTTCGTGGATACAAGAGAAACTAGCGTGTATTCTTGTCAACTCCGCCACGGCGTGCCGCAGAAGATCCGCACGAGTCAAGATCTACACCAAGCAAACGAAAAAGAAAGCATTCGAAAAGAAACGATAGTTGGAAATGCGGCCAAGACGCTGATCGGCTCTGTATCATGTCGTTGATGGATCTGCTGCGAAGCTAATGTGTCTTTTCGTAAATTGTCTTTTAGTTGCAGCAACAGGTGCTCGTTAAGCCTTCGTGTTTCTTAGCAGAGCCTGGCGTTGTGTATCCTGTTCGTGGTCTATTTACCGGCTACGGTGTTTGTCACTGTTATTTTCGTACGTGAACAGCAAACTGGTGTCCCACAAACTCCCCCGACGCGAAAGGTAATTTACTGTGGTCTCGCCGTCGCTGCATATCATCGATTTCTCTTCGTTTGTATGTCTCCATCTCGCGACTATCAAAACAGGCCGAGCAACTCAACACGGTTCTACCGCCTTAGCTGTGTCTCGTCGAAGTACGGCAACTATAGTTGGTTAAACTCTTACCCTTCGCGCACTCCGCTTAAACACCCTCACATACACACACACACACACATACGCATATATACGTGTTCGTGGATCAAAACTCCTCCACACGTACTGCACAATGCCGCCCAAGTCACCGCACCCACTCCAGGAATACGAGCGCCGTGCGCACCACCCCCATCACGAGCACGGTATCACCGCCCAACAATCCGCGGAGCTGCACGAGGTAACAGAGATTGCTCCACCTCCACCACACGCTATCCATCCCGACCATCGAGGAAAAGCACCGTGACTGAGATAGTGGACGATGCCACGCTCCTTCTAGGCGTCCAAATTTCGTTTTTCTGCTTTTTATCTGATGCGAAACGTTTTTTTTCTATTTTTACCCTTTGTCTTCTTCTTTATCTTCATACACGTCCGCACACCTCTCGCAGGGGCTTACGCGCTTAGCGTACTCGTGCTCTGTTTTCTTGTTGGTTCTTCTGTTCACCCATGACATGTGCGCTTTGAGTTGAGGCGGTGCGCCACTTCACATGCTCACGTCACGTGACTCAAGTCAACACTGTACGGTTTGTGGCGTGGAATGCGCAACGCACGCATCTTTTTGTGACAATAGAAATAGCGACTTGCCTCGCACCGAGCTTCTTCTGTTCCGCGTCGTCGAGGAACACGAATAGGAACAAGAGAAGTACTTTGACATACGTTTTCTATCAAGAGGACACAATTCCTAGTAGGAACTCATCTGTCACCCGTTAAACGTCAATTTCGGTGCTTCTGAAACAATCCCTTCTCGCCGCGCACTGTTATTGTTTTGTTGTTCTTTCTTCTTTTAATGACCGTGGCTTTCTGCTTTCGACACGTTACTGTCTGTCTCTCTCTCTCTCTCCGCTTTTTAGCTTGGCTTTTTGTTTTTGAACTTTACCTGGATCTACTACGGTGTGTCATGTTTGTTGTCGCATCTCTTTACCAGTGTTTGCAGAGGAAGGGATACGCTGCCTTCCTCTGCGCCGTGAAGATCAAGGTGCCTTTCCACTCTTCAACATCTCGTTGACCCGCGGTTGTACCACAACTTGGAGGAACACGCCACCATCGAGTCTGCCGCCCCTCCACGGCACATCCAGGAGGCTATGATCCGGCCGCCAAAGGCAGTCCCTCACAGACGAAGACCGCGTCGATGAAAGTGCGAGTGTAGCTTCATTGCTTCCGTTTGTCTTTTTCCTTTTCTTTTGAGGGGTGTGTGAAGTCATCGCAGTAGAAAGTGTGTCCATGACGAACGCTGCTCTACGCACTTACCAGCAGGAAAAGAATTGTAGCATCGCCTACCACTTGGTGTCGCTACTCTTGAAGGGTAAAAACTCGCACCGATGAGTCTGTTATTCGCTCGTGGTTGGCCGGTTGCTTGCTACCGCTGAAAGTGTTTCCTCGTTCCCCCCTCCCTCTCTCTTCGTTGTGTCTTTCGATTCCTCTGGCGGGTTTCCTCTCCATTGACTCCTTCCCTCGCTGGCTAGTGAAGGCACTGCGCAGTACTCTCTCTATCCCTCCCAACAACTGCGCGGCTTGAATGCTTGAGTGAAGTAGCGTGTTGTATGATGTCTTCTTCGTCCCGAGAAGTATGTGTGCATTTTTGTGTCATTCGCCCAGACTTCTGTGAGACAACGGGTTGTTCCTCGTTTTCAGACTTTTCACCTGCATCGCTTCTTCCTGCCAGGATAGTGCGTTCTTTTGAAGACCTCCTACACCGCTGCTGGGCGGAGGCGGTAGAGCGTCAAGCCGCCGGAGTGGTGACGCCGGTCACAGGAGCGCAGACTGCAACCGTCTTCACGAGGCGTACGAGATGCGCTCCGAGCTTCCCTCAATCCACCCTTTCAACGCTCTTCTCTCTCTTCATATCCCCTTTTGGTCCCGTCCGCTTCTCCCTTTCGCGCGTGTCGACCGATGATGTCCCCCGCTGCCATCGCCGCGTTTGTGTCCGGATCATCACCCTAAAACTGCATACCCGTCCCCTTCCCACAAAGCAGTTCCCTCTGCCAGAAATCCTTGCTCTTCAGTTTCTGGAAAAAAAAAGAAAACGATTCAGCCTCCCCCCCCCTTCTCCTCCGACCCGAGGAAAGCCTCACCCCGATCCACATAAAACGTATCTATTATTCCACCACCAGCAGCCCCCACAACGGCGATGCCGCCCAAGTCCCCCCGCGTAAATGAGCACAAGGGAGTGCCGCCACCGCCGGTCACAAAGCAGCCCCCGCATGACCACCGCGGTGCTCCACAGCACCCTATCCAGCAGCCGCCGCAGCGATGAGCACGCACGTCTGCTGCGCGCCACAAGCGGAGGGCGTCCCCACGCCGGCACCACGGGCGAGTCCAGTGCGTGCGACGACGCGTTGTGTACGGCTCCCTCACTCCCTCTTCTCCTATGGGATGCGACGTGCGCTTTGAAAAGCACGTAGCTTCACTGGCTTGCGGTAACCTTTTTTCCCCAGCTCCAAGTCGTGTTGTGATTCTCCGCGGTGATCCCTCGAAGGTAATTGCGAAGAACGAGAAGGACGAGGGGGTGTCGATACCTCGCACGGTTTGGCTGCTGTTGCAACGGCGTGGTTGTGTCCCGTTTCTTGTTGCTTCACCGACGATGGCTTTACGGAAGGGGGACGCGCGTGCCGCGGCGCCTCTCGTGTGTGTCCGCACGGCGGCAAGCAGAAGGCGAGGGCCACAAAACGTAAACGCGCCATCGCCTCACGGTCGCGGAGGGAGGGACGTCACGATGTTGTTCGGACCGCTTTCTTGTTTTCGTCTCAGTGGTGTGAGCGTGTTCCGGCTTCCTCTTTCTTGTGCATCTTGCGGCGCTCGCTCTCTTGCGTGCCATCAAAACGGCAGCTCTTATTGCTTTTACCTCGCTTCAACAAATCTACTTTACTTTTCATACACATCTCTTTTTTCGTTAAACACTTTTTTGATGTTGAGGTTTTCGATCGCCGTCTCTCTGAGTCCAAGGCTACACGTGACGACACCACCTGCACGCCACTACGAGTGCGTCCTACTGTCTAAACGAGAGTGTTGCTCTCTCCGCCTTCCTGCGTACAGACGGTGATGCAAATTTCTTGGGTATTTACACTGTTCTGCTTAGCAGCAGTGGAGCATGCCACGTCACGTGGCCGCGCACACCCCAGACTTTCGCACAGCCGTCAGTCTGCAGGCTGTCGCATTCAGAACCAGTAGTGAAGCGGCTCTCTTTCCTCCGCCCTACTCTTTGCACCTCAACACTCTCGTACGTCTCACTCTCCCGTCAACTTCGCCACCGCACTCCACAGTAATACCTCCTCCGTGCTCCGCCATTTCAGCCCTCTACAGACACACTTTCTCACCGTTCCCTTCTGAGTACGCGTTAAACACTTTCTTTAATCTTCTATTTTATTCCTGATAGTTTGTGCTCCCATTGAGGACTGCCTCCTTTTTCTCCCCATGTATAAATACGACTCCAGGATGGGCCGCCGCTCCGCCACGCGGCTGCTGCTGTGTACTGCTGTCCTCCTCGCCTGCTGCCTTTGCGGCTGCGCGGCGAGGAGGGAGTTCAGCGAGGTCGAAGCGATGCGGTACCACTACTACGAGGCTGCTTCCTACTGCGGCGCCTCCGAGGTAAACCGCTGGACATGCGCGCGTGTCTGCTCTAATGTTCCCGGCTTCGAAACCTATGCGGTGCTGGACAACGATGACTATGGTACGCAAGGGTTCGTCGGCGTCGACCACAACAACTCGCAAATCGTTGTCGCCTACCGCGGCAGCAGCGACCTGGAAAACTGGCTGATGGACCTGCTGGCGCTACCTACACCGTACGACAACGAATGGAGCTGCGGAGACGCGTGCGAGGTGCACATGGGCTTCATGCGGAGCTACGACTCCCTACGCACCGAAATGCACCACGCGGTGCAGACGCTGCTGGGCACCTACCCGAACTACGGCATCGTCGTCACGGGTCACTCGCTGGGAGGTGCGATGGCGACGCTGGCTGCTGCGGGCCTGCAGGAGGTGCTGAACGAGGGCAACTTCACGCCGGCTCCGCAGCCCGTCACGCTGTACACCTACGGCTCGCCTCGCGTGGGCAACGCGGCCTTTGTGCAGTGGGTGACGGACCTGCTGTCCAACGGCGCGAGCTACCGCGTCACGCACGAGCGCGACCCTGTGGTGCGCCTGCCCCCCATCAGCTGGGGCTACGCCCACCTCCCCGGCGAGGTCTTCTACAGACACGATGCAGTCAGCAGCCGCGTGATGTGCGTCGACACGGTGACCCAGCCGGACAAGAAGTGCAGCATCGGCATGTTCTCTGTTATTGTTTCGGACCACCTGAACTACATGGGCGAGTACACGGGGTGTGACAGCGATTCCCTTCAAGCCAGGGCGCCTGTGCCCGCTCTCCCCAAGAGGCTGTACTTGCTCATCTTGTGGGAGTACGTCAAGTACATATTTTAAGTGGCGATGATTTTCCATGTATTTTGTTTTGTTTCTCGACCTTCGCTGTTCTCTCAGCGTTGTGTCCTGCGCGCCGTTGTAGAGAGAGTTGTTACACGACTCATTAAACGGTTGCAGCGCATTTGTTTTTCAATCCATGTATGTTCCTTTCTTTCGACGTAAAATGTGCTGTGCTTGGCGGTGTGCTCTCTATTGCTTTTCGTGTGGCGGCCACACCCCCTCGTGCCTGCGTGGGCAGCGTTGATGTGGCGCCCGCGAATGATGCGGTGCAGGGCCACCGTCCAATCTCTTCTCCTTTCTTCCTTTTTTATTATGACTTCTATTGTTTTTCTCGCAGCTGCCGCGTAGCTCTCGCAACGAACACGACGGCACCAGCCTTCGTATGTCCAGCGTGCCTGTCCCGACGCCACGACGCGCAGCTCTTCTCTGTATGTGTATTTTTTGGTAATGTCCCCACGCGAACGTGGCCTATTTTCCTCGACGAGGAGTGAAGCCGAGAGCGTTTCTGCTACCTTCTGAACTTTTCGTCTCTCTTTTTTTCTTCTTTGTTCATCTCGTTTCCCTGAAAGCTTGCGACAGGCATCAAAACACCGGGATATGCATCGAACGCTAAATGGTGTATCCTCTCCCGTTCTCTTACCTTGCCTCTCGTCGGCCGCTCAGCAAAGGCTATGTAGTGTGTGCTCGCCGTCACGCTTCTTTCCCCGTTCCACGAGGTGCGAATTCGAACGCTCGGCGACCGCACTAACCTCCCTTTCGTAGAGTCTTTGATGTGTTAACACAGTGTATAGACGATGTTGATCCGTAATGGAAAAGTAGAAAATGATAAACGGGGTTATTGATATGTGTTCACGCTTCGGTTGTTTTCTTTCCTTTGTTTCCTTCCCTCCTGACTACAGGTAAATTGACTACTTTCTTTTCTTGTGAGCGTTACGCGTTCTCTCCCGAGAGCCTCTACTGCCAAGCCTTTTCCATTTTTGTTTCCTCGCACCTTGCGGAGGTTTACCTTTGATGGCTTTGTGAGGCAAACCTGACCAAGTGAACCGCGGTGTGGAGCCCGCCTGGGTGGCGCCGGCGTGCGTGTGTGCGCCGTGCGGTCGTGAGTGCGTGGCGCCACGCGGTGCTGCCCTCGGCCACCGCTGCGACGGTGTGCGGTGGCCCGTGTGTGTGTGTGGACCACAACGAGGAGGAGTGTTCCCTACCCCGGCGGGAAGCCGGCAAGTGCTCCCCTCGCGCTCCTCGTCTCTCCACCTCCTCTCTTCTCTCCCGCCTCTCCACTTTCCCCCGACAGACCACTAACAACCGCTAAGCACCCCGCCACCGCACGTCCTCGAGAAGCCAGCACCCGCACCCACAGCTCTTTCTCCTCTTCGTTCCATACTCGTGTTACCCACCTCCCTCACCTCCTTCACCAGCTTGTCGCGACCCCGCGTGATGTACACGCTGCACGCCAGGATGGGCCGCCGCTGCGCCACGCGGCTGCTGCTGTGTGCTGCTGTCCTCCTCGCCTGCTGCCTTTGCGGCTGCGCGGCGAGGAGGGAGTTCAGCGAGGCGGACGCGATGCGGTACCACTACTACGAGGCTGCTTCCTACTGCGGCGCCTCCGCGGTGGAAGCGTGGACGTGTGGGCGTGTTTGCTCGCATGTCCCGGGCTTCCAAACCTTTGCGGTGCTGGACAACGACGACTTTGGCACGCAAGGCTTCGTCGGCGTCGACCACAACAACTCGCAAATCGTTGTCGCCTTCCGCGGCAGCAGCGACCTGGCGAACTGGCTGATGGACCTGCTGGCAAAGTCGATTGCGTACAAACCCACCAGCTGCGGAAGCGCGTGTGAAGTCCACACGGGCTTCATGCTGAGCTACCTCTCTGTCTGCTCCGAAATGCACCACGCGGTGCAGACGCTGCTGGGCACCTACCCGAACTACGGCATCGTCGTCACGGGTCACTCGCTGGGAGGTGCGATGGCGACGCTGGCTGCTGCGGGCCTGCAGGAGGTGCTGAACGAGGGCAACTTCACGCCGGCTCCGCAGCCCGTCACGCTGTACACCTACGGCTCGCCTCGCGTGGGCAACGCGGCCTTTGTGCAGTGGGTGACGGACCTGCTGTCCAACGGCGCGAGCTACCGCGTCACGCACGAGCGCGACCCTGTGGTGCGCCTGCCCCCCATCAGCTGGGGCTACGCCCACCTCCCCGGCGAGGTCTTCTACAGACACGATGCAGTCAGCAGCCGCGTGATGTGCGTCGACACGGTGACCCAGCCGGACAAGAAGTGCAGCATCGGCATGTTCTCTGTTATTGTTTCGGACCACCTGAACTACATGGGCGAGTACACGGGGTGTGACAGCGATTCCCTTCAAGCCAGGGCGCCTGTGCCCGCTCTCCCCAAGAGGCTGTACTTGCTCATCTTGTGGGAGTACGTCAAGTACATATTTTAAGTGGCGATGATTTTCCATGTATTTTGTTTTGTTTCTCGACCTTCGCTGTTCTCTCAGCGTTGTGTCCTGCGCGCCGTTGTAGAGAGAGTTGTTACACGACTCATTAAACGGTTGCAGCGCATTTGTTTTTCAATCCATGTATGTTCCTTTCTTTCGACGTAAAATGTGCTGTGCTTGGCGGTGTGCTCTCTATTGCTTTTCGTGTGGCGGCCACACCCCCTCGTGCCTGCGTGGGCAGCGTTGATGTGGCGCCCGCGAATGATGCGGTGCAGGGCCACCGTCCAATCTCTTCTCCTTTCTTCCTTTTTTATTATGACTTCTATTGTTTTTCTCGCAGCTGCCGCGTAGCTCTCGCAACGAACACGACGGCACCAGCCTTCGTATGTCCAGCGTGCCTGTCCCGACGCCACGACGCGCAGCTCTTCTCTGTATGTGTATTTTTTGGTAATGTCCCCACGCGAACGTGGCCTATTTTCCTCGACGAGGAGTGAAGCCGAGAGCGTTTCTGCTACCTTCTGAACTTTTCGTCTCTCTTTTTTTCTTCTTTGTTCATCTCGTTTCCCTGAAAGCTTGCGACAGGCATCAAAACACCGGGATATGCATCGAACGCTAAATGGTGTATCCTCTCCCGTTCTCTTACCTTGCCTCTCGTCGGCCGCTCAGCAAAGGCTATGTAGTGTGTGCTCGCCGTCACGCTTCTTTCCCCGTTCCACGAGGTGCGAATTCGAACGCTCGGCGACCGCACTAACCTCCCTTTCGTAGAGTCTTTGATGTGTTAACACAGTGTATAGACGATGTTGATCCGTAATGGAAAAGTAGAAAATGATAAACGGGGTTATTGATATGTGTTCACGCTTCGGTTGTTTTCTTTCCTTTGTTTCCTTCCCTCCTGACTACAGGTAAATTGACTACTTTCTTTTCTTGTGAGCGTTACGCGTTCTCTCCCGAGAGCCTCTACTGCCAAGCCTTTTCCATTTTTGTTTCCTCGCACCTTGCGGAGGTTTACCTTTGATGGCTTTGTGAGGCAAACCTGACCAAGTGAACCGCGGTGTGGAGCCCGCCTGGGTGGCGCCGGCGTGCGTGTGTGCGCCGTGCGGTCGTGAGTGCGTGGCGCCACGCGGTGCTGCCCTCGGCCACCGCTGCGACGGTGTGCGGTGGCCCGTGTGTGTGTGTGGACCACAACGAGGAGGAGTGTTCCCTACCCCGGCGGGAAGCCGGCAAGTGCTCCCCTCGCGCTCCTCGTCTCTCCACCTCCTCTCTTCTCTCCCGCCTCTCCACTTTCCCCCGACAGACCACTAACAACCGCTAAGCACCCCGCCACCGCACGTCCTCGAGAAGCCAGCACCCGCACCCACAGCTCTTTCTCCTCTTCGTTCCATACTCGTGTTACCCACCTCCCTCACCTCCTTCACCAGCTTGTCGCGACCCCGCGTGATGTACACGCTGCACGCCAGGATGGGCCGCCGCTGCGCCACGCGGCTGCTGCTGTGTGCTGCTGTCCTCCTCGCCTGCTGCCTTTGCGGCTGCGCGGCGAGGAGGGAGTTCAGCGAGGCGGACGCGATGCGGTACCACTACTACGAGGCTGCTTCCTACTGCGGCGCCTCCGCGGTGGAAGCGTGGACGTGTGGGCGTGTTTGCTCGCATGTCCCGGGCTTCCAAACCTTTGCGGTGCTGGACAACGACGACTTTGGCACGCAAGGCTTCGTCGGCGTCGACCACAACAACTCGCAAATCGTTGTCGCCTTCCGCGGCAGCAGCGACCTGGCGAACTGGCTGATGGACCTGCTGGCAAAGTCGATTGCGTACAAACCCACCAGCTGCGGAAGCGCGTGTGAAGTCCACACGGGCTTCATGCTGAGCTACCTCTCTGTCTGCTCCGAAATGCACCACGCGGTGCAGACGCTGCTGGGCACCTACCCGAACTACGGCATCGTCGTCACGGGTCACTCGCTGGGAGGTGCGATGGCGACGCTGGCTGCTGCGGGCCTGCAGGAGGTGCTGAACGAGGGCAACTTCACGCCGGCTCCGCAGCCCGTCACGCTGTACACCTACGGCTCGCCTCGCGTGGGCAACGCGGCCTTTGTGCAGTGGGTGACGGACCTGCTGTCCAACGGCGCGAGCTACCGCGTCACGCACGAGCGCGACCCTGTGGTGCGCCTGCCCCCCATCAGCTGGGGCTACGCCCACCTCCCCGGCGAGGTCTTCTACAGACACGATGCAGTCAGCAGCCGCGTGATGTGCGTCGACACGGTGACCCAGCCGGACAAGAAGTGCAGCATCGGCATGTTCTCTGTTATTGTTTCGGACCACCTGAACTACATGGGCGAGTACACGGGGTGTGACAGCGATTCCCTTCAAGCCAGGGCGCCTGTGCCCGCTCTCCCCAAGAGGCTGTACTTGCTCATCTTGTGGGAGTACGTCAAGTACATATTTTAAGTGGCGATGATTTTCCATGTATTTTGTTTTGTTTCTCGACCTTCGCTGTTCTCTCAGCGTTGTGTCCTGCGCGCCGTTGTAGAGAGAGTTGTTACACGACTCATTAAACGGTTGCAGCGCATTTGTTT